ACACACTTAAAATCTAATTGTTTCTGAGTGATAAAGTTATGAGTAATTCATAACTTAAAAATCTTTACATGATTTCTCTAATGACCATTCTCATTCCTCCAATTTGGTCATAAAGTCAAAACTTCAGCAGTTGAGTGGGTGAGCAAGGAAGTGGGAAAACCAGTATGGGTACCAAAGCTCAAGTGAGCTGAGAAAGGTGCGCCAAAGAGGAGGAAGAGTGTATGTGTGAATATGTACTACTAAAATATATGTATATAACTACATAAAGTTCCCCAGCACTATCCACCAAGAAGAGCAGAGACAGAAGCAGCTCTGTCATTATGAGTGCAACAGATGTACAACAATGCCCACTAAAAGGTAGAATGGCCAATGTGAGAGCTGAGGCAAAATGAACTTGGAAAATCCTGTTGTACTGAGGGAAAAAGAGTACTATTAAAATGACAGGACATGTTGAAAGAACACAAGGGCCAACCTGAAGAGGCTCTCACTGGCCAAATTGGGGCAAGCCCCATAAATCTTTCAAATAGAAAACCATGAATACATACATGCATATGTATAGAATACATACTGATGGTAAGTTGAAATTATGATCAGGACTAGGATATATACAAAACATCTTCCCACAAAACAAAGGGGTAAATAGTAGATTTACAGTGGAAAAGCCAGATATCTAAACAAGTAATCAAATGGATATCCTCAGAAATGGGGCTAAAGTTGTATGGAAATGGCAGGAAGTAGCAAGAACACAAAATAGCAGCTGCAATAGCCCCAAAGCAACACAACTGGAATCTAGTCATGAGGACACAGGAATCCAAATCAGGGGACATAACGACCACCCTATAATCCACACCGTACCAAGGATTGCAAAAGTCAGAGGCTGCAGAACTGTTCGATGAAACCAACTACAGATAACCTGCAGCAGCAGTACATGATTTTCAACGGCATCCTAATAAGACATTACTGGAACAACTTGTATTATGGTCAGGCAGGAGACTTTCTTCATTGGAGAAATAGAAAAGTATTGCAAGATAACACATCACCAAGGGAACAACTTACCCTCAAAGGGAAAGAGTTCTTTGTGCAGTAATTAAAACCCTCTCTCTAAGTTTAATATTTTCACAAATTTTCCTTTAATGAGAAGTAGAATGCAGAAAAACAATATTCTTATTCTTAAAAGTCTGAAAAAAAGGAATTCGATGTAATGTACAACTCTAAAAACACCATTTTAATTGGAGTGAATTTGGTTCAACACCCGCATGCATCCATGGTGTATAAACATGTTTCAGTTTTTGTGTCCTTAATTCTCCCAGAACTTTTCTTATGCATGACTTTCAGAATATTGCCTACACTTGAGAAGATGTTGCTTACACACACACACACACACACACACACACACACACACACACACACACACACGAGAGCCCTATTATGATAGTGATGTTCATACTTGTTCAATAAAGTTGTATGAATTCTATTTTTGAAATAAAAAATAGGTATCACTATAAAAATAACATCTCCCCCTTGTGGTAAAATTTGAAAATACATTCTATTGGAGAATCCTAATAGGCATTTAGGATTATTCTTAAAGTATTTTCATAAAATTTTTTGAGTCCCCTATGCTATCTTTTAAATAATACACAGTGTTACAAACAACATACTTGGAGGTAGTTTTCTTTAGGTCAGCCTTGTGTCTGGATTCTAGTTGGGTATCTCTATAGCAAAAAGCTGCACATTTGTAGAACTGCTACAACAAAAGGCCAGAGTTCAAAGACACCAAAGCTACCCACAGTAGAAAGATTAAAATGACAGGCAGGCAAAGAGATGGCCTTATTCAAAGGTTCCTACCTCTCAAAGTTTAACCTAAAACTGAAAAGTCTACCTTGGGAGATTAGTTCCTTTGAACTGGTTCCATCCAGTCTTTACCTAGTTTATTACAATAGAAATATGATGGAAGGGACATTTTCTTCATTTAAGATTGCCAATAGTGAAAACAAAGTACATCATTTATCTGAATATAAATCAAACTTTTAAGTTTCTCACTCTAGACTCCTGCTCCCATTCTTAACCCTCTACATTTCTTCCCATTAAGTCACCAGGCACTGATAATTGTTTTACTGCCCTCTCAGTGATTACAGTCTAAGCGCTTTTTGACAGTAAATTTAATTCTGATTTCAGACATTTAAATTAAAAGTGGCTCAGTTGGATACTGCCTCTTAAACACAGTAATATAAATATTAAGTATCTTGGCTAAAATGAATTATTGACAATTTTAATGCATGTTGCACAGTACATATTAATATAGAAAAATACAAGTTGTCAGCAGCATAATGTTGACCATGTTCTAATCCATTCCACCTGCTCAAATATTAGTGCAAATAATTATATATTTGTAAAGCATCACTGCTGTCTAGCACAAATCTATGCCTTCTTAATAAATGACTTTCTTCTGACGTTGTTTGCTATTTGGAGTATGATGTGATATATTCCTATTTAAATTGGATTTGTATGAGGCAGACGGCAACCTTCTAAACCACTGAGAAAATGAGTGTGTTTAACTACTTGTCCTTCCTCCCCCAAATGGATATTTAGTTATAAAACCAAAAGTTTACTGGTACCTACCAAATAATGTCATCAAATAATAGTGCTAAGCTATGCAGTACTTAGTTGAAAAATATGAATTTTGTTAACCCCAAGGTTATCAGTCTAGTTGTTCCATTCACTATTTCAAAATTCAAATCTCTAATGCGTTGACTTCTCTCCTACATACACTTGAGAGACTGCCTACCTACCCAGTCAATTCTGAAACAAAATTGACTGATAAAAGAATAAAAAGTCAGAGTTAAGGAAACCGCTAAGACTTAGCATGTAACAGTAACTACATAAATATGACTATGGATGGCTAATACATTACTTTTAGCCTACATTTTCATTCCAGAATTGGCCATTTCAAGACTATCAAAGCACTAAACAGCTAATAGAATCAGTAAGCCTATGACATTTAAAATACTCTAAATGGAAAAACACTGACTTCTTTGCATCTTCTAGGGGGAGTTGTCATTTTCTCCATGTTATAAAATACTATACAAAATACCCAAACTATTTCTATTGTGAAAATCACTAAGCAGAAACACTGTCATGATTATATACAATATTCACTAAGGGAAACTCTATGCTGGACAAGTTTCTATTAAATATGAACTTACTATTCAATTGAAATTTCACGACTACGTACATAACTTTAAAAACCAATTGAGAAAGTATGACCACATCTTGAACACATTTTTAAAATCCCACAGTAATTTATAGATCCTATATTCTATCCTCCTAACCTAAACCTCACAATGAGAACCAAATGCTGGATAAAAAGACAATTAGTTTAAGGTAAAGCTAATGAGGCTATTAAACTAAATACACTTAATAGTATATAAGTAAAATATTATAAAAATGAGACACATTATTCATTTCCCTATGCAGCTATGCTAAATTTGGTAGGATTTAGGACTTAAATCTGAGCCTTTTGTCAGCTGTAGACCTTAAGAGGTCTACTTACCTTTTTTGTGCCTTAAGTTTTTCACCTGCCAAACAGAAATAGCAGTACCCAAATACTAGAGTTACTTTGGAATCAAATAGTATATGCAAAAGTCTTAGCATTAGTACATGAGACTTAAGTTAAAAAAAATATGGATATAATTACCTTTATTATGCATTAAAAATTTTAAATTGCTGTTTTTTTTAACTTCATGCAGAGTTTTTTAGTATGACAGTATGCACTGGTCTTTTTATTCAAGGAACGTAGTATATTATGGGATTCGCCTTCTCAAGCAGAGAGAAGTGGCACAGGAACTGAATATAGTTAAACTAATTGGACAACAGCATATAGGGCTTTGTATACCAAATTCTCCATTAGAATCAGAATTCAGTAGGCTTCTAGAAAACAGCACACTGAGAAACCAGTGAACTATATGTGGGCAATGGCAGAATATTTTTGCACAAAACATGTTAATCTCTCAGATGTTTTTGGTCACCATCAAAGCAAGTATCAAACCTTACTCTCCCATCAACTCTCAAGCACACCTTAGCTTTATAGATGTGAGCACTCTGAGGGGGCAGTGACATTTTAGAAGGCAGTAGCTCTTTATGTGGATATTTACTAATATTCACCATCAAAGGCAAAGGCATCTCAAGGTCTTGGTAAGTTCTCTACTCTGAATCAATCTACTGGCTGACAAATTATTTCACCATGCATCAGAAAGCTAGTATTCAGAAAGTGAAATATTTACAAGTGAAATAAAAATAGAAAAAGGAAAGAAAATATAACATAAATTACCTGCTTTAAATTAAATTTTAATTTTATTCTACTTTAACCCTATGTTAGCAGCACTTTTTAAACAAGGAAGACCTGAGGGACGTACAACCATGACATTCCTAAAAATGAGGCCAATAACTGTCTTCAAATGGTTAGATGGTCATCTGCTAAAAATTCATCCATCCGACTGTTATTTAATAATTCTTCATAAGTACTCTGCATGTAATGTCATTTTCAATAAAATTTAGAGGTTAGACTGCCTTCTTAAGCCAGTTCTGTATTGAGTTTTAGACAAACAACTTACAGCACATTCTAAACTTTGATATATTACCTATATATTACATGTAGCTCACATGGAACTGTAGACTATTATAAAGAATCTTCGTATTTAAATTCAGTAAAAGTTATTAAGCTCCA